AATCTGGAATGTGAGGGAGCAAAAAAATCAGAATGTTGAGAAAATCATCTTTAAAGTTGTCCAAATGAAGTTTTTAGCAATGCATATTACTAATCAAAAATTACGTTTTGATATATTTACAGTAGGACATTTACAGAATATCTTCATGGAACATGATCTTTACTTAATATCCTAATGATTTTTGGCATAAAAGAAAAATCTATAATTTTGACCCATACAATGTATTGTTGGCTATTGCTACAAATATACCCCAGCGACTTAACACTGCTTTTGTGCTCCAGGCTCACATTTGATTTAATGAATTCTATTCAAATAAAGACATTTAAAACAAATGCTTTCAAAGTGAGACTTGGCAATGCTCTGCACACACACACACACACACACACACACACACACACACACACACTGCATGTTCACCTGTTCTGCTTCCAGGCGTGGCGCGGCGGCGCAGACTGCGGTCCAAGAGCTGGTGTGTGCGCGTGGGACTGGCTCCCGCCATCAGCCGAGCTGTGGCTTCATGCAGAAACAACTGCAGAGAGAGAAAAACAGAGCGACTGAGTTATACAGGCAAACACATGAACCCACGCTAAATAACCAGCCTGCAGAACATCAGTTCAACCAAGAAAACAACAGATTTATACTTCCTTATACAACAAGATTAGTGTGCAAACGGTTTCTGTAATTCGCTTTAAATAGCAACATCTGCCAAAAAATTCAACATTTGCAGAATTTGTATGAAGTGTTATTTACAAATGCAAATCAAAAGATAAACCACTAACAATGGACAATAAATATATGAAGTAAAATATAAAAAATTGAATATAATGTAAAAAATGAAGAAATCAAAAAAATAATACATTACAAAAAAAGTCTGCGTGCAGTCTGGGTGGCATTATGGTATATACCGTTTGATGGTTATATAAGATTTTGATCACACTGCCTGACCCAGGACAAGTTGTATGCAATAGTTTGCTTAAATAGATCATTTCTTAGTTGAATGCACTAGAGACCTAAATATGAGCACGTCATGTCTTTAGTGTGGCCTCTGGCCTCTCACCCTGCGCATGGCCGGTCTGAAGCTCTGGGCGAGCTTGCGGAGCGAGCTGAGGTCCTGCTGGAAGCCCTGCAGCTCTGCAGGAGAGGCGGCCGTCGGGGAGCTCTGCTGAGACGCCACCTGCTGCTCCCGCCACACATTAGTACGCGTCACCAACAACAGATCACACAGCAGCAACTGCACCAGCTACAGCACAGACAGAGACACACATCCAATCAGACTGTTTCTTTCATTCCAGAAGAACAGCCTTGAGATGGTTTTCTTTGAGAGCACAAATACCATCTGTGTGTGTGCGTGCGTGCGTCTGTGTGTGTGCGCGTTTGAGTGTGTGTGCGTGTGTCTGTGCATGCGTGTGCGTGCATGTGTGTGTGCGCGCATGCGTGTGTGTGTGTGTATGTGTGTGTGTGCATGCATGTGCGTGCATGTGTGTGTGCGCGCATGCGTGTGTGTGTGTGTATGTGTGTGTGTGCATGCACCACCTGCTGCTCCCGCCACACATTAGTGCGCGTCACCAACAACAGATCACACAGCAGCAACTGCACCAGCTACAGCACAGACAGAGACACACATCCAATCAGACTGTTTCTTTCATTCCAGAAGAACAGCCTTGAGATGGTTTTCTTTGAGAGCACAAATACCATCTGTGTGTGTGCGTGCGTGCGTCTGTGTGTGTGCGCGTTTGAGTGTGTGTGCGTGTGTCTGTGCATGCGTGTGCGTGCATGTGTGTGTGCGCGCATGCGTGTGTGTGTGTGTGTGTGTGTATGTGTGTGTGTGCGTGTGTGTATGCATGTGCGTGCGTGCGTAACACAGCAAAAAACAACATGCTCAAATAAAGAACAGTTTGTGTTGTTATACAAATGATGTCTTGACATCTGTTTAATATCATTAAAATTAGGTGCTGCCAAACATTTATTCCCTCCAAATGTTTAATACTCCGTTCACATATTTTTACATAAATTGACAGTCTAATTAATTGATTAATTAATTAATTAATTTAAATTTAGTTTTCTTTTCTTAAAATGGAACTAAATGCCTCTGGAACAACACTTAATTACTACAATTTTACTGAAAGGGAAGAATATACAAACATATTTAGACATAAAATGTATAAATGTTTTTGGACAGTTTACATTAAATATATTTAATGATGATAATAATAATAATAATAAAACAAATATATAAATAAAACAATAAAATATATTTTATACATTTATAGTTTAATTATCATAATCTTATTAATAGTATTATTAAAATATTACAAATATGAAAATAATCTGTGTTTTAAAGACAGACAGCACAAACACACTTGTTTTTTTAACCAAAATACTTGATAAAGCAATGATAAAACAACAGATACTAAAATAAAGTAATAAAGTATTGTTACATTTTGTGCCAGTTTTGTTATTGTTAACTAAAACTATTAAAAATCACTTTTGTTAATTGAATTAAAGCTAAAATAAAATAAAACAAAAAACTTAAATATGAATAAACAAGAACAATAAATAAGAAATGGCAGACCAACTGAAATAAGTTTAAATACAAAATTATTGAAAATAAAACTGAAAATGTAATTTAAAAATGTAAAAAAGCACATAAAATTCCTTAAAGCTAAAATTTAAATTGAAAATGTAAATAAACAAAAGAAATGAGGTTGTACATGTCCAGAAACAACATGATGAACTACTAGCATGACATCTGTGTTAACTCGAGGAGAGCTGGCTTCATTCATCAGCCTGGGACCAGTTAGTTAAAAGTAACTAAGAATGTGTGTGTGGTCCAGCTCTGTGTTGCACTGCAGGAACACTGCACAGTTGAGGCACATGCAATGCAACTACAATGCACTACAGCCCTGTCCAAGACAAAACCCACGCGGCGCACTAACCACTCCACATAATAAAGTGAAATGTGTGTGTATCTACCTTGTCTAATGTGTTGGTGCTGCAGTGTGGGCCGAGATTGAGGCTGTCTCTGAACAGGCCGCTGGCTCTCTCACAGTAGCTGAGGCTGAGCTGGTAGTTCTCTGGTTTGGCCAGCAGAGCGCGCACCGCTTTAAAAGTGTTAAGACAGGCTTTGGGCAGTGGACTCCTGCAACACAAACAGACTCAGCTGAAAGCAATAAACCCACACAAAACGCACATCACACGACGTGTTATTCCCGGACATCGAGTGGAAAGATAAATGCGGCTGTGTCAACAGAGGAAAAGCCACTCTGATGAGAGCAACTGATAACTGCAGCCTCTTTACAACCAATTTGATCTTTATTTGCTTGTGGTAATAATATTTTTGAAAGTAAATATAGCTTGAGAGTGGCATTAGGGGGTGAATTTAACTGCTTTTCCAGGAGAAACCACAATAATAATAATAATAATGATGATGATAATGTTTTGATATGTATATATAGTTTTAGAGAAAAAAAAAAAAAATAAATAAATTTATATATATGTGTGTGTGTGTGTGTGTATGTATGTCTATATCAATACTGCTTATGTTTGAATGTTTATATTTTTGTATTTTTATATATATATATATATATATACATATACACATATATAAATAAATAAAAAATATATATATAAAAATAAATATATATGTAAAACATTTAAACATTAGCAGTATTGTTTAAAGAAAGCAGTAAAGAAAGACAAAACAAACTAATTTAAACAAAATACTTCAAATGATAAAAAAAAAACTTTAAAATGAACAATTATTCTACACTGCCAGTGTTATTGTTAACTAAAACTATAACTATTAAAAATTGTTTTTGTTAATAGAAATAAGGCTGCAATAAAACACAAATACTACATGAATTTAAAAAAAAAACACTAAAACACTAAACTTTATTGAAAATTATTAATGGCAGAATAACTGAAATAATAATTTTAGTACTTAAACTTATTTAAAACTAAAACTGAAATTAAAATGAATTAAAGATAAATATTGAAAAATAAATAAATAAATATTTTTTAAAAAACCTAACAAAAATAAAACGCATAAAATTACAAAAAAATAAAACATAAAATATAAAGAAATAAAAGCTCATTTAAAACAGAAACAATTATTTAGTAAATTATACTAAAACAACATTTCTTATCAATGTTGAACAGTTGTGCTGATGAATAGAAAGTTCAAAAGAGCAGCATTTATTTGAAATAGAGATGTTTTTAACATTATAAATGTCTTTACATTTTGATCATTTAAAGCATTTAATGCATGCAATTTTTTAAAACACACACACACAAACTACTTACCGTAAATGTTTGAAAGGTTTTTTTTTTTGTAAATTAAAATATGTGTAGGATTTATACGTTTTTTTTTTTTAATTTTGTAAATCTAAATATTAAACCATATATGTGACCCTGGAGCACTAAAGCAGTGTTCAGTCGCTGGGGTATATTTGTAGCAATAGCCAACAATACATTGTATGGGTCACAATTGTAATTTTTCTTTGATGCCAAAAATCATTAGGATATTAAGTAAAGATCATGTTCCATGAAGATATTTTGTAAATTTCCTACTGTAAATATATCAAAACTTAATTTTTGATTAGTAATATGCATTGCTAAGAACTTCATTTGAACAACTTTAAAGATGATTTTCTCAATATTTAGATTTTTGTGCACCCTCAGATTCCAGATTTTCAAATAGTTGTATCTCAGCCAAATATTGTCCTATCCTAACAAACCATACATCAATGGAAAGCTTATTTATTCCGCTTTCAGATGATGCATAAATCTCAATTTCAAGAAATTGACCCTTGTTTTGTGGTCCAGGGTCACATTTTTGAAAGTAAAAATGGCGTGTGTTTCCTTACTTTAGCATAATTATTAGCAGATATAGTCAGTTCGGGGTTATTATCAACAACTAAAACCATTTGTTAAACTGAAATAACATAAAATATTTAAAAAATAAAAAAGTTATTTCCGATATTTGCCAAGGCAGCATTTCTTATTTCCACATAAAACACAACAAATGCTTTAAAACTTTCAAATTAAAGTGAAAACAGAAAATATAAAAATAAATTCAAATTCAAAATAGTAACAAAACCTAGCATATCATTGATATTACCATAATAGTCACTTTTCTTCTGTCTTAAGGGAAGACAGAAGAAGATAAGGGATAAGCTGAGATAAGGGAAGTCGTGGCCTAATGGTTAGAGAGTCGGACTCATAACCCAAAGGTTGCGGGTTCGAGTCTCGTACCGGCAGGGATTGTAGGTGGGGGGAGTGAATGTACAGCGCTCTCTTCCACCTTCAATACCACGACTGAGGTGCCTTTGAGCAAGGCACCGAACCCCCAACTGCTCCCCGGGCGCCGCAGCAAAAATGGCTGCCCACTGCTCCGGGTGTGTGTTCACGGTGTGTGTGTGTTCACTGCTGTGTGTGTGCACTAA